GGGGGGGGGGGAGGTGGAGAGAAAGAGAAAGAAAGAGAGAAACATTGATGTGAGAGAGAAACATTGGTTGTCTCCCATATGTGTCCTGACTGGGAATCGAACCTACAGCCAGGTATATGCCCTGACCGGGAATCGATCCTGTAACCCTTCTGGTGCACAGGATGACACCCCAGCCAGCTGAGCCACCCGACTGGGGCTCTTGGAGTCATCTTTAAAGGTCCTAATCATAGACTGCGAGGCTCAGAGAAAATGTAAGACATGTTCTGAATCCTTTCCCTCATGTGTTGTGCTCCCCTACGAGCCTTGTCTACCGCTGAGCTTTCAAAGTAGCTGCTGGAAAGGATTAAAGTGAAAGTTAAGTTGAAGAAATGCCTGTAACCATTTGTTGCTATAGCTTCCCTGTGTCAGAGGCTTAGGCCATTCTGCTTTCTTCAATTCGGAGTTTAAAGATATTTTTACCCTGCCTTGCGCTTCAGCTCCTATGCTAGTATTGTCTAAAAATTTTTCTAAAAAGGACAGAGCAGTGGGAAAGAAGAATTAAACTCCACAAGAGCTTTTAAACCGTTTTATTGAATTTGAAATTAAATAGAGGCCTGGGGAGGTTGTTACGGGGGCAATCAGCGCACAGAAGCTTACAATTGCCATGGACTGCTATAGAAGAGGGAGCCCTGGATGGCACGAGGGGCCCAGAGCGCTCTTTAGAAGGCAAGGGAAACAGAGCTTTCGGAGTCAGGCAATAATTCTTGCTGTACTGAACTTTTCAAACTGGATTTAATATCTATAAAATCTGACTAGAGGGGAGAAGGGTGTAAACTTCTCTCTCTTTAAGGCTGCGAGTCTCTGAGGCATGGGGACACCCCTACGATTATGTGATTGGGTTCAGCATCTCCAGCCCAAAGAGCAGTGTACCCCTATTGCTGAAATGCTTTCTGCTGGAGAAGCAGCCAAGTAGGACCTGCACTCAGGCCCTTGTACTTAGCACAGAGGGGCCAAACCAATTTTTCCATGTTGGGCCAGCTTAGGGGGCATCCTTTCCTAGTCCTGTGTCTTGGTATTGATGCGGTTTTCCAGTTCCTGAGGGGAGCTGACCCAAAGAGCCATCTGCTGATGAGGGGAAACTGGAAGGAGCCTTGAGTCTGGTGCTAGGTTTTCCAGGTTCCCCACTTCCACCTGCCCAACGCCAGCCTTTGATGTCCACAGACAGTGGTCCTTGCAAATGTGTACAGAAATCCCAAAGAAAATCCTCTCAAAATTTCCTGTTTTTTTTTTCTTTTTTCTTTCTATTAATAGAGCTTTCAAGTTGAGCAAAAAGACAGATCTCCAGATAATTTTTTTTTTTTTTTTTTAAAAAGGCCTAGACAAATATAAATAACTATAAATAACAAGTACCAGGAAACTCACAGTGGGAAAGCACATGGTCAGACCTTCACTCCAAAGGACTTAAGATGTAAGACTAAACAACCCGCTGATTTTGACCTAAATAAATGACCCAAGACATATGGTAACAAAAGCTCTATCGAAGAAATTGGCCCCCAGCTATCAATTGCTTAAGGACTTCCTTTCCAACCCATGAACTTACAACATCAGAAACTTTGCATAATGGGGCGTGGGGTGTGAGGAAAGAAAGATAAGGTGGCATTTCCACCAGGTAGAGCGTGTGCTGATTTAGTGCTGAGAGCTCTAGTTCGTTGCCTTACGTTATTGGTTGGCCAGGTTTTCCAACCTGAAGAAACATATCTTACAGAGTGAGAATATTTCAGAAATCTTAGAGAGTTTAGAGTCAACCTCTAGCTATTCAGTTATTCACTTTTGGAAAACATCTAGTCCTGGCTTCTCTTGCTCCCAACACCTCCCCCTCCTTCCTACCAACCACTCCCTATCCCCTATCTCGTCTGGACCTTTTCACAGCTCATTAGATGGTTCAAATAAAGGGTGGGCAAAGAATAGAGCAGGAAAAAAATAATGGGTGAGACTCAAACTTATGAAATTGACTCAGTAATTGTAGATTTGGAATTGGTATGGGTAGGAAGAAATTAAGAGTCTTGGCCAAATACATTATTTTGGTTATTGTTAGTCATCAGTCAATGAATGAGTTACTTTGCCTATCAACATCTTGAATCATGTAATGGTTTAGTTTTTTGTAATTACAAATATTTTTAAGACATTAAGAATAGGCTTTAGTTGTCATTTAGGTAGACAATAAATTTGCCCCCAGTGATCAGAAGAGGTCATATCTATTGAATGAACCAAGATAATAAAAATAAATCAAGGTAATAAAAATTTACCTGTCCAGCAGTGTCATATAGTCCGAGCAAGTGTTGCTTGCCTCCCACTGTCACGGTAACTAGAGGGGAAGAGAAAAGGAGAGTCCATAAATACAAGCTGCAATCAGGAGCCTTCACATCTTTCCATGCCAACATCTCCCTGGCATACGCCCATCCATGTGTATTCTAAAGCAAGATGACAGCGTGATTTCCAAATGAGAGACAACCTTGGGCTACAGTAAGAGTGGATGGGCTGAGCCAAGTCCAAATTTCTCAAATGAGATTGTTATCGGGGAGGTTGGGGTCTTATCTTCCCCACTGGGTGCTGGGGGTGGAGTCCTTACGATACCTTGAGAAAAAGAATTTTCTGAGACTCCCACAGGAGGATGAGTGATTTTTATTTGCATGGAATTACATCCCTGGGTTTCCAAAGTCCTATTTCCCTTAACCCAGTCCTGGAAGGAGTGTAATTGGGGTTTCGGTAGAGCTAAAAGCAAAACCAGTGTCCAGAGTTTCTGTTCCATGTTGCAGCCGGGTCCAGCTCAGCGTCAGGCTGGTTGCAGTCCATTCGTCCATTGTGTGTGGGGTCCACAGGGCCGTGGGCCATGAGAGCAAATGCAGGAGAACCATGAGAGTGTGACCCTTGCAAGAAGAGTCCCAAGATAGCGAACTTCTTTGTTCAGGGGGTTAAATATTCCAAATTTCACACCCTTGCAGTGGCCACACCCATTCTGGCCAATGACCTGTTTCCAGGTGTGACTGGCAGGCGAGTACCCTCTCTCTGTCACCCCAGCTTTACCAGGTGTGTATCTATCTTCCCTTTGCCGGACCCCTGGGGAGTGTAAAGATGTAGCTTCCTGGCAAACTGCCCAAATGACATGCCTATAATATTTGGCCTTCCTTTTGCTCCTTTCCTGTTATTAGTAACTAGGTTAATTGCAACGGTATCAAGATGAATATTATTGGTGCCTCTCTGTAAGCTTCTCATTGATCTCTACCAGGCTCCAGAATATCAAGCTCCTGAGGTCAAGAACCCAGGACTTTTTCTTGGTTAGGTTATTTTCCCCTTTTGTTTGGTCTGAGCCGCCTTTCAGGACACAGAATTGTGTAAGCAATTTCTCTCTTAGAAATCTGTTTTTATCCGTCTTTGAAATGTTAATAACCCCCCCCAAACAAAGAATATTAACCCACCTGCATATTTTATAACCTAAAAAGACAAAGCAAATAATGAAACAAGATGGGTTCCATATTTATTTAAGAATTTTTTTTTTTTTTAAATTGAATATTCCTATGCTTTAGCTCAACTGATTCATTACAACTTTGAACCTTGGTAGCAAGAGGACTTGTTGTACGGATTCAGTTTCACATACCTAAAGGGTGTATATAGAGTGAAAATGGAGAGTTTGATTCACCCAGCAGGCTTACTGCTTTGCCAAGCAATTGCACCCGAAAGTGAGAAGTAATAGAGGGATACCAACCACTCTGTACATGTCTGGAAATGAAATAAAGTCTCAACTTGAAACCAAACTGAGATTGAACAGATTGAATGCATAATACACTTCTCTTGGTGAGTGGAAAGAGCAAATTTAGATTTCCAAAGAAATTGAATTTCTTTTGGAAAAAGGAAGTAAAATAATAAAAGAGAATGTGATTTTTCCTAGTTGATTAAAACCCGTGCAAATGCAATGTACAGCTGGTTTTTGATGCCTCCTACCAGGAGTTATGCAGGAATTGAAAGATAAACTGGATTAGCAATCTTTTATTTTTATATTTAAAATTTTTTAAAATTGATTTTAGAGAGGAAGAGAGAGAGAAACATCGATTTGTGGTTCCACTTATTTACACATTCATTGGTTGACTCCCTTACGTGTCCTGACCAGAGATTGAACCCAAAACCTTAGTGTATCCGGATGACACTCTATCCAACTGAGCTACCTGGCCAAGGCTGAATTAGCAACCTTTTAAAACCATATCTCCAACCTATGCCAGGCAAATTCTCTACTCTGCTGCTCAGAGTTGCTGATTCGTACCTATTTTACTTGTATTTGTTTTCAGGTTCACGGGCTACAGAGTAGTTCTTAATGGCTCATTCTTTGCAAAGCACTTGTTTAAAAGTACTGCCTCCACAGACAATGGGAACAATTTTTCTATCTACTCAAATCACTCTGTGTGCAGCTTGATAACATGACTGCAGCCACTCAGATGGGCTTTGAAATGTGTATTTTAAAGTGGTGAACCCGGCTCCATCCAACCCTGGTGACAACGCTGACGGAAGAGGAGATTTTAAACATTTTGACTTCCTTTCAAATGTCAGGCTAGCAGTGGAAATGAAGACGAGATGGCGTTGGCCTGGAGCTCTTTTTCCCATTCTGGTTTCCTTTTCCTGCATGCTTTTGCTTAAGTCCAACCAGATGTTCCCAAAATCTGCCTAAATGGTGTCTTTAGTGACCAATTCACTACCTAGTCATGGGTCAGTAATAAAGGGAGGAAATCTAGCCACGAAACATGGGATTCCCTGCCTCTAGCGAGCCCAGTACATGCTGGCCAGGGGCACGTTTGGGTGGCCCCCTCGGACCATGCCACGACCAAGAGGCCCAGAGCCATCTGTGGAGCGAGCACTAGAAGCTGAGTCACCCTCGCGGCTCCAATGAGCACTGCAAATATTCCTAAGTGATGGCTCTGACCTTGGCCACCGGAGCCCTGAAGCTCCTGTCCTGGTTTTCTCAGAGAACAACCATTCCCTCCAGTCGGCCTGTCCTCAGGCCTCACCCTGTTCTCCCCTGGCAGCTGTGAGGCCAGCGCCAGCCAAGGAAGGGTGGGCTGTGGGCCGAGAGCCTTTTTTCCCTCTGGCCTTCCCTTCCTCCTGGGTTTCAGTTCCTGGGCTGCTCAGTATTGGGAGTAGGAAGCCTCCTGTCGTGCAGCTTGGAGAGGAAGGGTTTACCAGCAAGGCCTGGGCACGGGGCAACATAGTAAGCAATATGCCAGGGCGGCTTGGAGAGGTGTAGGAACTCGCGGTAGGGGTATTATTGTGTGTACATGTGTGTGCATGTGCATACATGTGCATGTGCATGCTCATGGGACATGGGAACACCAGAGGGGCCCTGCTGCGTGTGCGCACACACACTGCTGGAGCGCAGTCAGAGAAGGCTTCTGTAGGATGTGTCTGAGCTGAGTCCCAAGGATGGCCCGAGTTACCCCAGGTGCATTGGCAGGAGGGATAAGGGGGGCTCAGGAGCTCCCGGGGTGCATGGGGGAGATGGAGCAGAAGAGGTGGGAGTGCAGGGTGGGACTGTGCGGGCTCACTAATGGAGACTTCATCCTGAAGGCTTTGTTTAGCTATGAAAGTCCCGAATTTTTCTTTTCCCCAAAGAAAGTGAAAGAGAAGGAATTAAAGTAATTTCCTTGGGCTCTGGCAAATGGTGAGGAGAGGGAGGATGACATTGGGGTGGAAGCCTTGTGGGCTCTCAGCTTCGCTGGGTAGTGGGTTTCTCCTCTGTGTGTTTGGCCAGCTCTAGAGAAATTGAAAGGAAGGGAGCAGAGCTTGTGCCCCTGACTCTGGAGATCACTTTTATTCTCTTCTCTGCCCTTTTATTTTCCCATTTTATTGGAAGGCAGATAAGTGGATTGCACAGTTGGTGCTAGAGAACATCCAGGGACAGCCAGAGACGGATCCAAGAGTTAATCACAGATCGTGGGTTGTCCAAATGGCTTTGTGAGTCCTTGCCTTGGACTAGCAGGGGATGCCTTATCGTTGCCAACAGGCTGCCGTGTCCTCTGAGGCCCCTGTTTGGAAATGAATCAGCCGCAGCAGCCCAGAAGGCAGGTGTGCCCTAAAACGCTACTGGTAAACGTCGTGAGGTTGGAAGAGCAGGATCTTTCAAGTCAGGTGGATCTGCATTACAATCCTACCTTTGCTCTTCGCTCTCTGCGTGACCTTGGGAAAGTCAACGAACACCTCTGAGCTCGATTCCTTATTTGTTACAAATGGGGATAATGTTACCTATCAAAGTGAGGACTTGTGCAGAGGAAATTAAATGAGAAAGTGCCTGGCATACAGCCTGGCCCATAGTGGGTGCAATTGTTCCTTTCCCTCCATCAACAAATGCTCATTGAACCTCTTCTAAGAACTTGCTCTCAACTGTATACCTCATGTGCATTAACTGGCACAGAGCAGGGTCTTAATATTTGTGAATTACTAGCCACTTTCTACCCTAAATGATAGCTATTTAGATCATTTAGATCGCTTCTGTCTCCCACTGGGCAAGAAGACCCCTGAGGACAGAATTTCCACATCCCATGTCCTGCACAGTACGCAGTGTGGATGCTGGCGAATGCAGTAGACGCTGAACACACAGGATGGAAATGGAGCACCAGGGGCAGCTCAGGCAGAGGGGAGCCCTTCAGGCTGTGCAGACCTGCCGCTCGAAGCTCCCTGGTGAGGTGCTAACTGCTGGGAAGCGCCTGCCGCCAGCAAATCTGCCCGGCAGTCAGTGGTCAGGCTAAAATCCCAGATCACCTTCTATTCTCGGAGCTATTAGAGTTGTTTTCTGAGTTTAGAGAGGTTTTAAAGCAAGTGGGTCAAATGACCTGCTAATGGCTCAGATGGTTCTCTCCACAAAGTGTGAAAAGTTGTCTGTGACCTGTTAAGTATGTAAAATGAAGGCCTTCTTCTTGCCAAATCCCCCGAACCCTTTGCTTCCAGTGTTTCTTCCTTGTGTAGATCAAAGTGGCTAATTTTGCTAAATCTAAGTCATGGGTTTGATTTTTTTGAAGGTCAGTTAGTTTCACCCAGAGAGAAAATGTCCCAGGCAGGACCCGAGCTTGCCCCCCTCAGCATTTCAGCTACCTCAGAAACCTGTGTGTCACTTGTAAACCTGAATGAGGACATGTTGGTCACTCCCTGTAAACCAGCTCGGCCCACCAGTCCAGCCCATCAGTAGTACTAGGAACCTGGGTCAAAACCCCTTCCTTGTTGGCTGGCGGGCTGGTCATCTCAGCTGCCAAGAGCGGTCTTCTGAAATCAATATTATGAATATATGGTGAATGCTGAGAACTCAAATGCTGGAAACGTCAGGCCAGTTAGGAGGAAGCCTCCGAGTGCCCTTCAGTCCCAGCACGTGGCCAGCTGCCTGCATCACTCACGTCAAGTGTATTCTATTTGGCAATAGAGGGGAGCAGACCTGACTGGGTGTGTGGATGTAGTGCCATAAGGGTGTTATTTTGGAG